ATATGGTCATGCAGTTCCTTTAATATTACTCAGTGGAGGCAGAACAACAAATGAGACGGAAAGGGTTGAGCAACTTATGATTATACTATGTTAAGCAAAATATGGGCATTTTATGAAGTTATAAAATTTATTCAGTATGTTCTCTTTTAGCCACACATGTATGAAAGAAATATTCTCTCAACATTTCCAACATTTATTCATATTTTCTTGGAAGCAAATATAGGGTTGACATTCATGAACAGTTTGTAAGTTTTCTCAAAGCCAAACATCTGCTTGGCATCCAGTGACGTCCACAAACTTTTTTCTTTAAAGGAATATCTGTTGAGTACTTATTAGCTTCATTTGTGCCTTATGACTACCCTTTAAGTCGAACAATTTATTTAGAGCAATCCGTACTGTGTAAGGCAATCCCAAAAGATTCAAGAAGTAAATAAATCCTTTACTTAATGCACTCATGCTATGACAGGAAGTATGCAAAGTGTCCCTTTAGACCTCTTCTTGGAGGACTCCTTGATCGGACTAAGGTGAAAGGTTTTGCCTGGAATCCCACTCCCGAGTGACGACACTCACTGAGGTCAAGTGCTTTTTTATGCACTTTGGGGAAATCGCCTAAAAGGGGGTTAAACTTTGATTAGAGATGTTGCAAGTAGGGAAAAATGCTTACTTCAATTTAACTTCTGCTTTTCAGAAGACATCAGTACATCAATTATGGAGAAGAACGGTGATTACTAGACAGTCTAAAAGCTGGAGGCTCTAGGCCAATTTTCAACCAACTGTCACAGAATGTAAGTTTCAATATATGTTTAAACTAAACTGACAACTACAGAAAAAATGTAAAATTCTTTGAAAGGCTGGGTTATGTGAACTGACGAGGATCTCATAAACCACATGCTATTTAAAACACGGTAATACTTCACTGAATATTCCCACTCTCTTCTGGAGGGAATATTAAAAGAGGTAGGACAGATGCTTCCCCAAATCAAGTTAATCCAAGCGGCAGACAGTCTCTTCCCAAAACAGAGTGGTCAACAGAAGTACGGTTCGTCCAAAATTTAAAAAATAAATGAAAGGGCTGGGGGAGGTCCTCTGGCCCAGAAGCTTTCAAGCTGGAAGGAGATGACCCAGGAAGGGTGCGTGTGTGCATGGGTTTCTCACCTTTCTAGGGTAGAGAATCTCCACTCTTTAGACATCAGGCTCCCTGGAGGACTTGAATCACTGCTGTATGTTAAGCTCCACATTTTACAGGTCACAAAATCAAGGCCCGGGAGATACCATTAGGTATCTGAAGTGCCAGCGAGATGGCATTAGAATAAAAATTTTGTGAATCCCAGCTAAAACACCATTATACCAGCAATACAAGCTATAAGACTTAGGGCATAAAATACTGGTAACCGACACAAGGAAGTATTTCCTGGTACACTTTGCAGAATGGCTCATGATGTTAACTGTGTACACAAATCTTCACGAGCCTTGGAGCAAGCTTCCCCATCCCCTCTACTTGTCTAAGGAGTTCCAAGGAGTCTGTGAAACCCCTAAAATGATGCATTCAATTCTATATGTTTGTGTGTATGTGTATTTTTTTTTGGAGGAGATGGTCCATAGCTTTCAGTTGTTCTTCAAAAGTACCTGTGATCACACCTAACGGTAAGAATCGGTGTACGTGAGCAAGAGAATAGAAGGGAAGAAAGACCACAAAGGAGTAAGTTTATGTTTATAACCGGGAAAACTGATCACAAACTGCCTTAACCACTAGATGCATGTTTCCTATTAAACTACTCAAGTTACACAGGTAAATGTGCACAGAGGTAGAAACAAAAGCTGCATGGTATTCATGAAAATACAGTACTTGATAGACTGGTAAAAAACAGATTTCATTTTACTTCTTGGGTTTTACATACTTAAAAAGAATTATCTGAGGCATAACATGCAACCTTCCCTTTGTAAACCAAAACCAGGACTCCAAAGCCCTGAGTAATTTCGGGGCAAGGGGATTATTTCTGTCTCTGAATATTCCCTTCAGAAAATGGTGGTGAGTAAGAGACATAATGACTACTGACGGAGAACAACTGTTTCTTTCAGTTCAATTGTAGACACTTCAGGGAGAACGCTCATCTTTTATAACTGTGTCACTTAGGCAAACACTAAAAACTGCCTTCTGCCCTTTATGCTGATAATGTCAGGGACGAGAGTGGCTGATGTAATCCTGAAGATGGAACTAATATCGAGGGCCTCATTCTCCATTACGGAAAGCCTTTCCCCTCTACTTCCACTCTAGCTCTGTCTAAAGAGAGGACTGAAGGGGGAAGGCAGATCCTGAATTATCTCCCTGTGCGGATGGACAAGAAATAGGTCGGAAAGTAGTGTGAGGGGAAAACCCATACAGCTAGAATGAACATAAATGAATCTGGGAAAAAGTACTGTACTGTATTTTGAAATGATGTTCAGAGTCTCTCATAATGGAGTAAAATGGAGAATTTCCTGAGCCTGGGAGATTATAATCATGTAAAACACCAGGAGTGACACTTGCATTTAATTGTAAAGAACGATGCACAGAATTGCCCACCTATGCCTCACCAGCGATCGAAGCATTATTGTGGAAATTATAGCTTGAAGTTAGTAAGCCAAATGACATGAAGAGGGCCCATGCCAATAGTTTAAATGCCAAGAGGCACCCAGCCAAGAAGGTGCAGAGACATAAATCGGCCAGTGGCACTGATGTGATTATGGGCTTCGATGAAGTCTCAAAGCCAGAACGGAAGTTGAACCACAGCCCTTAATGGGAAAAGAGAGAGTATGAAGGTAATTAGATGAAAAAAAAAGCTGAGGAAAGATATTTTACTTAAAAAACAAAACGAAACAAAACAAAACAAGCCTAACACTAAATAAAACTCAAGTGTCTGCATAGGGACCTTCATGGTCCTCAAACAGGCATAAAACAGGATGGAGGGAGGAAGGGGCCACACACATCTTTATAAGTTCTGTTTCGGGGCTGAGCTGCACGTGCATAGGAAAGTGTGATTCCCTCCCAGGGGCCCAGGGTCTGGAGGAGCACTGAGCTAAGGTCCATGTGACTTGTGAGCATCCAGAACACGGATCTCGGGAGGGAATTTCACAAGCAAAGAACATATTTTTTCTCCCTTGACTCTGCTTTCTAGTGTTTCCTCTCCCTCTGCTATTGTTTAATTTGTGGTTCAACTTTTTGAAGACTGGTGGGAGGCACTGTGTTAAGCAATGCTGTCAGAATGAGGCTCAGCTGCTAGGGCTGCCTTTGGAAAACTGGCCCCCCACATCTTTCAAACCAGTTGTGATTCTACTTAAAAAAAAGAAGAAGAAGAAAGGAAGATACACGATGAAGAGCAGGTGGAAAGTCTTATTCACCCCCATATGTGCATCGTCTAGGTTCAGCACACAGTAGGCACAGGACAGACGCCGCCAACTCAAGGGAGCTGGTCATTTTATCTAAACAGCTCTGTATTCTGTTTTGTTTCCACAGAGGAGCCAACAGTCATATCACTTAATGTGTTTTTGAGTAAACTTGTCTTGATCCTTGTGATCCCATTAGTGAAAATGATTAAACAACCAAGTCTGGCATAGTATTATCCCCATGAAGTGTCAGCGTTGAACTTTGCTAAGACTTGGTCAAGAGATTAGCAAGGAACTAAGAAAAGTCACTGGAAACGCCGATTTTAAAAAGTATGAGGACACCAAAGTGCAAACGAGAGAGTTAAAACAAGATAATTTCCAAAGCTTTCTTCGTGATGAAGCAAAGAGCCTGATTATTACTAATCTTAATTATCTGCACAGTATTTTATCCAAGAGCTTTAGAGTAATATTATTTATTAATACATGCCACAGAGTAGAATAATAAGCAACTCTTATTCTCTCAGTATGATACAATTATATAAGCTGAAATAATGCTTATAAAGGGAACTTATTATGTATGGTTGAAATTGTATTTCTATAATGTATTTCAATGGAAATTTAAGAAATACCTACAAGTCTTGGTGTATAAGTTTGGAGATACTATCATATACAGTATATTTAAGTGAATAAGCCTGGGCAGAAAAGAAAAAAAAAAGGTTTTAAAGCACAACATTCTTTTTTTAAAAAAATAAATATATTTTTAAAGAAAATAATAAAAGCAAACAGTACAGTCTGAAAAATAATATTAAAAACACAAATTCTAAGAAATTCTTCAGAAGCCCTGCTAACATTTCATCTCCAAGAAGAGAAAGCAATTTGAGAAAGTGCTACCCTGGATCTAGTCTTACCAGCTGATAAGGTTCAGTAAGCAGATGGCGAAGAAGGAAATGCTTAGTTTTCATGCGACCCGAAGGGAAGAGACTGGGCACAGTCAAGGATATACTTTAAATTTTAGGAAGACATAGTTTAAACAATTTAGACAAAGGAATGGGGAAGATGCTCTGACAGGACGTACAGGAAGGACTGGAACTAAGTGGTTTACAAAAATACAATTCTATGAGCTAGGACTTGATAACTCAAAACAGATTTTATTTTAGGATACAGGCAATATTATAAATTAGAGGGTGAAGGACTGTACAGGCAGCAATTATTTTTCAAATAGCTAAGGCTTCAGAAAAATGATTTAAGTTAGTGCCTCCTATCATGCCATTCCCCCAAATAAACCCTAGCAGCACGATCAGAGATTTCACTGTAGAAAACAGAGCCTTTACAGAAATAATGCCAGATGCAGGTGAATAATCAAATTTTAAACACAGAAAATGGCAAAAAAAAAAACCCTGACAACTCAAATTATGAACAATAACTACTAGGGATTGTTACGACTCACTTTCAAAAACTCTGCTAATAAATTCTATCTCAGTTTGTGAACCTCAAGTCTTTAAACCCGAGTGATTAAATAAATGAGTAACCTGACATTTACAAATTCTGGATAGAATAACCTTAAGGAACTTTAAAAATCAAGAACTTAGGAGAAAGTCATGCTTCATTGAAATCTGACAATATTAAGGAGAGCTTACCTGCAGCAAATAACAGCTTTGCACGACAAAGCTAAGTCCAGGAAATACTGTCGTACTCCGAAAGTTAAGGCATACTTGAGGGTTTTCCCATCAATTATAAGAGCAAAATCATTCTCTTTCCGAAGAGCATCACCAAGGGTTGTGCAATGACGACTGAGAGTTTCCCTTGTTCCCTGTAAAATTAAACAAACAAAAATGCCTTCAACAATGACTCCCATTTTTTCTACCTTAAGGATGTTCAGCAACTACACTGATTTTTAGTGCTTTTTATGTTTCAAGTGGTTTTCATGTACCTCCACTCATTTGATTCTCACAAAAGCTCCTCAAAGGAGATGGGACAAACATTATCAGGAAAAGTAAGTTGCTTGCCTGAGTCATACATGTGTTCCTATAGGGTTGGGACCAGATTGCAAACCACCCCATTCCTCTGTAATCTTTGCTCAGGATTCTAACCACACAATCACAATCCTGCAAAAATATTTCCAGTAAATCATCTTATTAAAAAACGACACTGCCCTAATTTATGAACTAGTCAAAATTGCTTAGATGTGAATCAAGGGGAAAAGTTGGAGAATATAATTGAAATAATTGATGGGTATTCTTTCAGAAGGACTCAGTGCTATTGAAACTTAATTCCCAGTAACCAAGAGGAGATAACACAGTATCTGTAATCTCTTGCAATTTCATGAATTGGCTTCTGTAACTGTAATCATGATTTCATGAGGCTGTATTTTAGTTGGGGACAGTGACATGTGGTGTGGTAATCTTGATGGATCAAATAAAAGAATCCCTTCCTTCAGTGAAGAGTTCACGTTCAGGCACAGTAAAAACCTTTGGTGTCAAGGAAAAGCTTTGTTCACCTCAACTATAAAGAGAAGTTGTATTTGCCTATCTCTGTCAAGAACTGCTTGCTTTCCCAGCTCTTCAAAAGCAAAATGTTTCAGGATATTTAGTTTTTCTCCGCAAATCCTATAGACCCTTCTTATAACCTAATGGGGCCAGTTTTCTGTTTCACAAGAGCCCTGCCATTGTGAAGAAACAGAACACTGCCTCTGCACGAGGAAATATAAGGAACTATTTCCCTCTTGTTAGCGTTTTGTTCTGAGTGCTAATATTGAAGTCTGCAGTTATTTATACAATAAATACAAATATATATTTATATAATCAAATATGCCTGTAATAAAAAATACCCATAATACTTTTTATTATATTCGTGGGAGATACAATTATTGTTCCAATTTAAGAATGTGCTGCAGTCATTTCAAAGTTATTTTCACAAAGACGGGAGCAAAGGCATAGGTGATTAAAATTTTATATTGGGGATTTTTGAAGGTGTTTCTGCAATTATATTTAAATGTGGTTCACACTATGTTCTGGAATCTCAGAACCTGTGTATCAAAATAATAGAACCACATTGTACTGTAAAGGAAGACTACCCAATTTTCCCAGTACTGGAACTTGATTTAACATTTCCCCTGTTCCCTGTTACGCACTGACACCCAGGACCACCACATAGCAGCATTCTTTGCAAAATTTACTGTTCACACTTTACATAGAGGGGGAAGTAGCTGTGTTAATTTATAGGCCTCGCCCTCTTATTTACTGCCGGAAATTTTTGGCCCACAGTGACTTAAGAAAACTGAGGTAAATAGTGTTGGTAAAATTCTGCAAGCAACATTGACCAATGACAATCTATAGGAGATTACCCTGGATTTAAAAAAAACCCCACAAAAACTGTCTAGGTCTTCACATAGATCAAATGAATGAACAAATCAATGAACTGATGAAAACATAAAAATAAAATGAAACAATACTGGTTCTAAGGGCTACACATACAGGTATAGCATTTCCGCGAAATTTATTACAACCCTACGTAGGATGCCCTACTGTTCTCCCCATTCTGCAGATGAGAAGCATGAGACCTATACAGTTCCTTGCCCACCAACATCTGGCTACCAAGTAGTGAAATGAAACTGAGAATTAAATTTCTGTGCTAGCCTGTCATTCTCTGCACAATCCAGCAAAAACAAACCCAACTTCAGACAGCACCAGGCCTAGTAAATTATAAATGGAATGCCCACACATTCCCTGTGTTTCCCTAGAGCCCTCACCATCTGTCTCTCATCTCATCTCTACCGCCAACAGAGATTTCTCTTTATGAAACAACTTTAAAACACAAATCATGTCTCTTCTTACTCTAAATTTTTTCTAAGGCTTCCTACTGTCTACACGATATATCTCAAGCTTCTTAAAATGGCACAATCTGAGCCCAACTGACATTCATTCAATTTCCCTTCACAACCACCTTCTAAACCACGCGTTCCCTACCAAAGACTCCCAAACTCCCCCCATGCTGCCAGGTGTAACTCAACTCTCTGCTAGCACAGCCCTCAGGTCCTTGAGGGGAGAGGCTTGTCTCCCAGCGACAAACACAGGGCCTGTGATTACAGATGCTTAGGAAATACTAATTGATTGAATGAGAGCACTGATAAATTCTGATTTCACCCTACTGGCAGCACTCCATTTCCCCCTCTATTATCCCTTCTGATTTGAGAGAGGGAGAGGAGAGAGAGGGGAGGGGAGGGGGGAGAGGAGAGAGGGAGGAAGGAAGCAAAAAAGGGAGAGGAGAGAGGTATTCTCTTGCTTGTTTCTTTATTTTCTAGAGAATAATCCATTACTTCAACAGCCTTTCAAACCAAAGCATTGCTCACTAAGATGCTAGTGCATTTTTTTTTAGACTTTTGCCCAAGTGTCTCCTGAACTGGAAGCCTGAATGAAACCTGAGCTGGACCGCAGGAGGATTGCAGGTTTCTTTAAAGATCAACTGCAGAGCAAGACTCAAAGTCATGTCAGCCCCTGAACTGTGCAGGCTTCCTCCCTCATTAACCAAGCTGTGGCTCGCAGTCCAGTGTGCCCCACTTTCCCTGCCCCACTTTCCCTCTATTGGAAGGTTCTCTAACACCTTAACATTTGTTGAGAACGCTCTTATTTGTGGCATCAGTATCCTCGGGTTTCCTTGGTGATTATCACAGATCTTCAGCGAATCTAAAGGTGTCAGGAGATGTCACCTGATAACACTTCAGGAAAGATAACATTTCAGGCAAGTCAAAAACTTCCCACAGTGAATTCTCCAGCCAGCCCACCTAGGGTGCAAGGTTACAAACAACAACAAAAAAGCTGCAAACATTTTCTTATTTTAGTTCAGTTTTCTTTTGTAAGTAGCTCTCCTGTTGGCTGTGTGCTGCCAGTTCCAAGTTACATTTTACCCTTATTTATACTGCCAGGAGCATTTTAAAATTCTTTTATTTATGAAAGTTTATTGCTTCTCCCCTAAGCCTGGGAGCCATACTTTATGGCTATATTGCATTGAAGCTTATCTCCTGTAGCTAGAAATAAATTTATTACTATATTAGCTGTTGCTTTGTTTTCTTTTTGGCTACTGGAGGGGGAAATGTTTAAACATTTAAACTTAGTGACATGTGAAAGTGAAAATATATAAATGAGATGCTAAATCAGCAAAAGAATAAAAAGACCACACAGTACAACAAAATAAAAGCTCCATATCTCCTAGTTCCACACAGTCTTCTTGGTGGGCTGACAGAAAAGGAGCATCTGTTGCCATAATCAGGGAGAGTCAGAAGTAAAGGCAATTGGGGGAGACAGATACGCAATGGGCAAGGCCGGGGTTCAGGTGTCTTGCCCGGTGGAGATCCAGGTGAGGGAGGGAGCCACAGGGAATGTGGGATTTGCTTGTACCTCCCATAACCTGCATCCCATGTGGACAAGCCAGCCAACCATTTCACTTTGTTCTCTCTACCCACAGCCCTGCACAGAGCCCAGTGCTCAGTAGAAGTCCTCAGCCCCTGGACCTCCTACCATGCTTCCCTGCCTCGCCAATGCACAGCTTAGGCCACAGCCAACCTTGTCCGTGGTTCTTAGTCTTGACAACTCAGAAGGGAAAAACATCACCCCCACAGGAGAACAGGCTCTACTCCGGCTCTCCTTTTCTATGTGTGCTTATTACAGCTGATCTAGATTTTTATCCATGGCTCGCGGATTCCATTTTTCCCAGAGGCTACTCAAGACTTTTCTTACTCAAGATTTCAAATTTGGCTCCTGTCACTTCAGCAAACATCTACCTGCTTTCCTGAGAACATTTATGCTGGAAAGAATTCCCTCAGTTTTTCTCCCTTGACTTAAAAACTTCTCTTTATCTAATCCTCCCTAATTCTTGAGTCAGAGGGAAGAACTTCTTTCTCAACTATTTCTCCCTCTTCTCTCTTGCATCTTCTTCTCCCCATTGCCACTGTTGTTGTTTTTTTTATTTCAAGATTACATACTAAAAACACTGAACAAATAAATAAACCAAGAAATGGTCCCTTGACCCAACTTTTCCTGAGTCCTCCAGGTGACACGAATAGGCCCATCTTCTGGACTGTCCAAATACTTTATTTATATGATACTTATACACTGTAGCATGATGGATAGTAGCTTATCTGTTTATATTTCTCTTCTCCTTTCAGGACTGAGGCTCTTGATGAAGAGATGAAATAAAATGAATAAAACGGAATGAAAGAATAACAAAATTATTAATAATTGGAGGCTACCTTGTGGGAAGTTACAATGATTTTCTTGTGTGACCATTTGGAGGACTTTTTCTACTGCCTATAAAACTCCTGTATAATCTTGGATACTCTTAAATAGACAATAAGTAAAATGTTAATATGCTTATCTTCTTATAGAAAAAATGGAGAACAAAGTGCAAGTTATGATCCAACATCTACTTCTGTTTCAAATAATATAAATTGTTTAAAGAATACAAGAGAGTCAACACCTAGACTACTTAGTGATCAAGTCAGGTTGTGTAACAGTGGGCCAATGAGAAGCGAACAGTAATTATTTGGTTTATAAGACACATGCTTGGGATAGAAAAATAAAGATGCTTGGTAGATAATTAGGCCAAGTAGAATTTCTCACAAAGATGACCAGAGACCTTACTGAAGTTCCATTAGAATCTTTAGGGTATAGCCTGGCAAAATAGATAACATGTTCATAAGACAACAACAATATTAAAGAAATCAGAGGCTGGCAACTTTATGGTAAGCTTTTTCATTACTTTTACAGGAACTTTACCAGGGAAACCCTTGTTAAAAATCACAGAAGACACCGAGAC